TTTTACCCTTGTGGCGGGCTGTCCTGTGTGGGGACAGTGTATCATTGGGCTCTGCCATCCAAGCCGGGGTCTTTCATCCACTAAGCAGTGGTCAGCGCGACGACGGAGCACCGCTTAACTCCAGGTTGACGTCGTCGTAAGTACTAAGACGTTGTCCCTTGAAAAATATTTCACAACAGATATTGTTTTAAATAACTAGGATTTGCTTCCCTAGCATATGAGGGTGGTTCTCGAACCCCTTCACCCCATGTGCCGACGAGAGTACTTTATAGCCAAATACCTGGCTTCATGTCACATTTCCTTAACCGACCCTATATTACTTTTCTTGAACATTTTACTACCACAGATATTCTGCATTATTTTTTCTGTTTTTGCCCTGAGAGACAGTGGTCTTCTGTTGGGGACACCGCCCAACAGGGAGATATTTGATTGTATAAACCCCCGTGTTTATGCCAGCCCTGGTGTGACTTACGCCTACGTTTGTATACTCCACCTCAGCATATGCAAGCGACGCGCCCTATTTCCCTCAAACCTCACACAACGAAATGACGAAAACACAGCGCTATTTATCACGGCCATGATGTCAGCTCCCCATTAACCCCACAGGTCTTCATTTGTGATTATAGTTTCGTTTTAGGCGCACGAGAGACAACAAACGATTGTGCTTTAGTGACCGTGTTACAACCAAGCGGAATTTGACGACCCGTTTTTGCATTAAAACACCAAATTTCTTCTGATTTAGAAAAATTCGGAACCGAGTGTCTCATACAAAGCTGGTCATCCCCGAGATCTCTATGGCTCGATAAGTCCCAGATCACATCCGTTTACGTTTGCTGTATCGCCTTGAATACGTATGTTTATACCCTTCTAATCTACCTTGATAATTACTTTATGTTTTACTGTCTGATCGACAGTCATATACGGGTTTTTCACTTGTTTTCCATTTCGTGCTAGGTACCTCAGGGTAGTCATTGTTCTATCAATCATTGATTTACTACAGTTTTCCATTCTTCCTCCCAAGGAACTCACACCACAAACAACTGTCTATTATTTTTTCACAGAACTTCATTAACTGATCGCAGTCTAGGGTTATGTGCCGGCTTATGATCTTCTGGAACTGAACATCAATCTGTATCTTATACTGTGAGGAAGCGGAAACTGATCCCTTACAAGAGCGATATCGTCGCGCACTGTCACAGCACCAGATAGACATCATAATCGGTCAACCCAGAAGTCAGATTCAGCTCCCCCTCCGGCCGGACCAATGACACTAAAATGTGGCACGGCCACTTAGGCCGTGCAATAAACTATAGCTGACGCGTCCCTAGCCTCTAAGGGGGTGACTGCTGAACTCTATCGCATTGGTGAGGCGAGGATTTATATGGTCATAGTCGAAGTCAAGTGAGGTAGTCACTTAGGCCTCAGTGAATAAGTAATACACAATTTGGTTTTCTTTCAAAAATACTGACTATAATACTGCATTGTAAACATTAGTTAATAGGAATATTGTTAGCCTACGTCTGTTTGCCTTATTCCTAACACGAACCCTCAAGTAATCGCAATGGCGGATTCGGAAGTGTCTTTGACTCGACGAATTGAGAATCTATAAATGCGGTCGAGAGCAAGTCTCAAAGACCCCTAGGTCATGGCCGTTCCCTTCCCAGCCAGAAGAGCGTCCCCTCCGCTGCTGACCCTCTCCCTACAGTGCCGCTTCCTTTGACCTCCCTCACCGACTTTAATCTACTTTCGTACCAAGGTTTCTTCCCTAGTTCCTGCATATACATGGGTTTTTCAGCATACCGGGAGACAATTTCTGACTTGGTGTTCTCTGGACCGTCGTAAATCGCATACTTTCATCATACAGGAACATTACAACTCACCTTCTGACAGGTTGTTTTTTTCCAGACTCATTATCGTTCTCGTGGTTGTTTTGGTGCACTTAAAAAAACTGTAGGAAAAGTTTATCCAACGATTTTTGTGGACACCACTGGTTGAAGTTTCTGCCGTTTCCTGGGCCTCATTCATATGTTTCCTGATTCCCTCGTTCTCGTAAGACAGGTGGCTGAGAGATTAAATTAAATAGTGTTTTGTATTAATTGAGCCCCACAACACTTCTTATTCGGCGAGCATCATAACCGGAGTGGAGTGTCAAGAAGGACGGTCCAAAACTACCAAGATGTCTACAGTGTCCATCCCGACACAGTAAGTCGTATCTTGCCCCATAAAAATGCGACGTGGTGGTGTAGACAACTTATGATTGTTCTAACTAGCCATCTTGTGGAATATGTGAAACTCTGCATGAACGCATAGTGAAGGGAATCACTGTTAAATCATGAGGCTCCACCCCTTTAACCATCCCGCGCAAATAACCTGGTCGAGATGGCCTTAAAGTATGCTCGACCGTTGTCTATTATGTCTTACGCATCCTCCGTGATAGAAGCCTTGCCCAACGACCCGAAGGTCATCCTCAGAACTTCAAGAGACACGCTTCACCAGGTGAGGCGATTAGCCGCTACTGAAAACTAACATAGTGACTTGATCGTGACCGGCAACGAAGGTGCCCCTTTTCTGCACCTTTGAAAAACTGGGAAACCGGAATGAACATTTACTAGTCTCTTAGGAGTCAACTGATTGTTCTAATAGGTTTACATAGTTCACTGCCATTAAAAGAAAGCAAAATCTTTTTCGTTCAGACGCAGGACCACTATTATATTCGAAAAAATACGATTTCATTTAATGAGGCGATCGATCAACGGGAACTCATAGAAAACAGAGAGGAGCTCCAGTTCTTTCGAAGGAAACTGAGCTTAGACTTTGAACGACACTAACTCACGTATGTAGAGAGAGGTCATTTCACACGTGAATCTTTTGCAGACTGTAATTTATATTTCATGTAATCGATTGCAGTCAAAAGCAGTGTTAACAAGTTGTTTCCCAGTGCACGAGAGGAAACAATCGTTATTTAGAGACATTTCGGCATTCGCTCCGAATAATTTTCTATGCACGCCCACAGTGTTTTTAGTTACATCTGCAGTACTACGTTTGTCCGGAGTCCGCATAACCTGGCCTCGGCATGTACCGCTTAGAGTAAACGAATTTGGCCACAAAAGTAGCTTTTTGACTGCGGATTTCTCCAGTCATTTAGATCTCGGAAACGCCAAGTCTGTTTGTCACTGCGTAGAGCTCAACCATATGTGGAAGTTTTTAAACAGAACAGAAGACACGAATGACAGAGCTCGACCACACCGCACATCTATTTACACGCTGCGGAAGATTTATACAGACACATTGCTTGTAGAAAAGAGATCACAATCCCCACACACGACAATACGGAAAGTTTCTAACTCATCGAGGCCAACATCCTTGCGTAGTTGTTTATGTGACGGTTTACCATCGATATTATAAAATACAGAAAACTTACCACTGACGTTTTGTCTGTCTTATCATAAGACTGAATTTGAGAATGTGTTTTTTCTCCAACCGTGTCATGGAACCGTGGAATAACCTGCCCGTGACGATTGTTATGTCTAAATCTGTGGAGACTTTAATGTCGGCTTGACAGACATATGCTGCCGCAACAAGCGGATTATGTGACTTTGCAACCATAAAACCAGCGACCTAGGTAAATAGAAGTCTCCATTCACCTAATGCCGCAATTTCCTCACATTTTTGCTTATTTTATCAATTTTTTTTAAGTACAGGTAGGGAGTTTAAAGATGTCAGCCTATTTCCCTCAAATACACTGGCCGACGTTTGGTCTTTGCCATAGTTTGAACTTCACTGCGTTTCTACGAAGCGCTCTTGCTGACATTCGCATCTTTTTCAAAGCGGTAAAACACATGTATCTTGGCCCTGAATTACTTCATGACAGTAGTATTCTTAGTGACAATGTCTAGCTTGAGCTCTGTACTCGTGAGCATGCCCGTGGAAATTTTTTATTGTCCTACGCCTCAAGACAGACCCCGGATTTTACCTCCACCTTTAGGAGAAACAGAATTAGTGACCAATATCTTGGTCCTATTTTACTGCATCTGACATGAAAATACTTAAGGTTTTTGATACTAGCAATCAGATGCAATGGAATACGACAAAGGGTTGACCACCTCCAGACATGTGCAGTATTTACCTTATTTTGAACTTCCGGCGACACATAAAAACGTCGATAGTCGATTTTTTGTTTGGCTTACCCCTCACTTTCTCTCCATGCAAAGTAGTAAAATTAACAAACATGAGCAGCGCGAAGTGCCTTCACCGGGCTGGTCATTTGACCTATAAGCATGGGATCCGGGATCCATACGTGGTCCCACTTGATAGTAGTCGAAAAGTGCCCAGTATTATTAAGTAACGTAACTTCTAGAAAGAAGTCTTTACCTTAATTCTGCGTTTTCAGACAAAGCATACACAATGAGCAATGCCGTATATTACGGCATGGTCTATACACCAACTAAATTTGTTGAACAATTAATACATGAGATGAAACATGCCATTGCATACTAGTTCTTTTTGCTGCTTTTATTGACACGTTTTTTTTACAGAGATCTACTTAAAGTTGATCTACCACTGTTAGGTAGTATGGATTTAATCGCCAGAGCATCAGAGAAAATAATCATGTTTGTAAGGACTGTATGCTCAATATCATGCCAAATTTAATCCACCTTGCGTAAACCCACCATACGATTTAGTTGGTTTATTTAGAATGACAGCAGCTGTTGAATTCAAGCAAAACGCTAGAGCATTTAACGGTCACATAAATGGAAACAGTTTGAGGCAACCCCTGGCACTATCAAAATCTGATTGAATGACTAGCACCTGGTCCTGTATTTGTCATCACACTGCCTGTTTCTCTATTAATCTAATACTGATTTAGTAACCATGCTATTCCAAATATTTGACGTAGGGGTCTATTTCAGTAATGAACAAAAAGAAGCTGTTTTACAAAGTTATCATTGTTTGAACAGGCCGGCGGTCGTCCGGCTCACTTTTTGAATCCTACAGGCGTGATGGTCAGTCTGGTCGTCCGTATATATTTTCTAATTGTGTTTTGACGTTTTCGCATATCTGGCTTGTTTGTAGGCCTTTACCACATCGTTTGCGACGGTTTTGCCTGTGCAGTCCCATATGTGCGCCACCTAGGCTACTCAGATTGTAATTATTACTTAGTTTATATCCACCTCGATAGCATTTAGTCGCCCAGGGCTAGACATTTGCTAGCCCGTTTGATTTGCGGGCTAGTGCAGGGCTAGTAACCTGTCTGGCTGCTAGTGCTCGATCTGTGCGAGGAAAGGAGCTTTTCTGTCACACCACCTCCTTGGTGCTCACCCGGGTGCATTTTGCGCGTCACGCTGGGGGGTCCCTTTACGCGTACGCATGCAGGGCGCACGCGGCACTTTGTCTGGAATTTAGGCCCCTGTCTGGCGACTTAAATTGCCTCGGGCTACAACGCCCTCTACTCGTCCGAGAAGGCGCGTCAACCTACTGTCCCCGTGTGGTCAGTGTCCGCTAGAATTGCTGAGAAAATCCGGCCAATCGCAATACTAGCCCGCGACTGGGCTATCCCTGGCGAGTAGAATGCTATCAGGGCAGACGACTGGAGCACGAGTAATCACGCATAACAATCCAGTCAGTAGCTGGCTTGTCGTATTTTCAATCAAGCGTTTTCGCGTTCCTACGTGTGTGTAGTTACGCGAGTTATATTTTTTGTCCGTCTTGCCGTTCCCACAAATTCACGGGAAGTTGACATCTTGTAGGGTCGCGTTCGCACGAAGACCGTTAAAAAGGCGTCTCGCCTGATTATTGAGCGTTTCTACGGAAAACTCACCCGAGATTTCCACACAAATAAGCGTGTGACGCAAGACATCGCTATTATCGGGTCCAAGCGCCTCCGGAACCGCATTGCTGGATTTGTGACTCATCTGATGAAGCGCATTCAGCAGGGCCCAATCCGAGGCATCAGCATTAAACTTCAAGAGGAGGAACGCGAACGTCGCGACAATTTCCAGCCCGAGGTATCTGTCCTTGAGAGCATGGTCTACGAGCCGGATCCTACTTCTGCTGCTATGATCAACAGCTTGGTAGGTTTCTGTTTAGTCTCTTCATGTCTTAAAACCCATTTGTAGACGGACAAAAAACGGACGACGCAATCAAAGAAGCACTGATGTAACTTTGTGAGACAAGTAAAGGAAATTAGAATATCTTGTTCTCCCCCGCCTGCCGACTGTGCCCAACAAATCCGTTTGATCTTACAGAGGCTGACTGCCTTCGCAGTTGGCACAAAAGCGCAGGAATCTGAAAAATATGTCTACCGAACTTTGGGTCCGAGAGACTGCCGCTCCCTTTGGGTTTAAGTTGCGTCGACTAGCGCAGCGTGGTCCCTTGCTCCTGCGTTTCTGCCGCGATGGCGGTTGTAGAATGGTCGGAATGCCATTTGGGGTCCATTGTCAGCGCATTGCAATCGTTCATCTTAACAGGAGAATTACTGTAGTCCTAAATCTGCGGAATTTCTGTAGTAGCCTAGAGAGGTAGCTTTAAAATATCACCATCTTGCCTACCGGCTACGCTGCGTAATGCAGACACGGTGTTGCATGACAGACAGTCCCGGGAAACCCTATGGTTAGTAGTGCCGAATGTCATCTTAGTGGCTTCGGTTTAATACTAGACGTTTACTGCGTGATTTATCATCACTCGGAGGAAGTTGAATTAACATTTTTGGGAAGCAGTGGGACAGACAGACCATACCAAGGGACGGGATGGTCGTTCGATCCCATCCATGCACTGCCACTATATCGAATTACCCCGTCAACGAGGATGGCGATCCATCCCCATGAACATGAACTGTTTTCTTCCCCAGTAATCACGTGCTTGACCACCAGATGGGCCCTCGCCAAAGCCATTGTAATATCTGCCATGGCATACAGGAGTCGCACGGGAGGACTGCGTGGCGAAATACCGTTCTGTAAGCTAGAAAATAAAATCAATCGGATCGGGCGGGACTTCCCACAGGTTCGCAGAGGTGCGACATGGAGTTGATTACAATAAGGGAGTTTGTCGGCCTGTCATTTGACAGTGGCCACTACGTTCGTATTCAGCCGTTTCTGCGCAACCAGCTTAGCCCATGGTTTTGCTCGGGAGCAGATCATGTTCTGGATTCCCATGTCCGAGCGTACCACGGCCTTTCTGGGTCGCCATAGAGTCACTTGCGCCTATCTGCACGCTTTTTTAAGTTGTGAGGACCATACTTGGCGGGGATCCAGCAGTAGGATTTCCTCTATTCTGGCGCCTGTCAGTGCTTATTAGTTGCCTTTTTTCGCTCCGATGGGGATTTGTTCACAATTTATATTTAGATTGGCTAACGCACTGTTGAAGTAGATAACACACGACTCTGCACGCGAAAGCTCCTCCGAGCATGTTGCAGTGCGGTCTGACGTTATTTTCATGCCTACTTAAGACAAAAGTGTGTCGCACTCAGGACATTGGCAAAGTAGGTTAGGTAGTTCTGTGTAAGCATTGGGAAGACCGTTGTTGTGACCAAGCTAGTCCAGCAGGTAGAGGTCGGGGAGCCGATCGTAGCAACTAGGCATTCCGTACGTCTTCAAGTCCCTGGAAGTCTAACCAGCAGTAAACAAGTATGACGGACAGGAAACACCTAGTTCAGGGCTATGTATTAGAGCTTGGGGCCTGCATATGGTTCTCCATTCCTATTCCCAACTGACCAACTTTCTCAGTTGTCGAGGCTGTGGAGAAGTACACTGGGGCTTATAATGCTGTTATTGGCCTCATTTCGATGGTGCCCGAAGTATATGCATGGCACCAGCTTAACTTATCAACTTTCTTCTGAAGCTCAAGTCACTGTGCTTTCAGGTCAGAGGGCGGGACTGACATTGGCACCGGCTGCGTGAGTCTTGTCACCGGATGTCCGATCGTGCCGTGTTAGCGTACTGCAAGTTATAGAATTCGGCTCCTGTTTGCGGATAAATTTCAGCCTCCACTGGCGCGTACCTTGTAGCACGAATTCGTGTCTGCTTGTAATCCAATGTCTCAGATGGCAGTGCTACATAAAGGAAACGGTGAGGGACTGCACTTCCTTGACGGTCAGTGTCGTTCTTGCTGCATGAGCTGGTGCGAACCTAGGTCGTGGCTGACTCATCGAAGGTAGTACCCGATATGGGGTCGGCAGTTTGATCAGAGTGACGACATGGGCGCTAGCGCAACCTGCAGTGTCCACCGTAAATGGGGATAGGCAATCTCTTCATTAAGGGCCTACTTGCTTCATGCATCCGACTTCGGATTAGCTTGTTTCTAGGAGAATTTCTGCCTTCTAGAAATAATGACGTTGCTACCATGATAATGACGCAGCCGGCAATAAAACGCACTCAAGAACGGGATTTCCCAATGGTCATAAATTTGAATGTGGGTTTTACTTCTTACTAGTTGAATTCCCGATTAGAGGCCGATAAGCGCAAGTTGTCAGGGCTCAGTCCGCCCCCTATTTTTCCGAAATGTAGGCAGAGTAGCGGGAAGATACCACTGTAGTTTCAGAGGCGTACAGTGAGTGACCAATCTCATAAAATTCTCTCAGGAACTCGGAAATGCGCTTTCGACTAGGAAGGATTACTTAAGTGGGGTCGTAATACTGATCATTCTGCCGCACAGTTCCATAATATTTTTGACTCGCCAGGATGTCAGCTTTTGAATGCACTCCTTTTCGGCATCCCGTAGAAACTGTACTCGGCAAAAACTGGCTTTCTACGTAACTCGCACTTTTCTCACTGATTTTCGATAGCCTTGATTCAAATATATTTTCTAGAAATCATGCACAGAAATACGCTTTCTTTTACTCTTTTGGTAGAAAATCACGTCTTTACACATTGTATCCGAAGAAAGGGTATATCTAGGTTTTGAAAAAGTTCCCCAATTCCCGAATAATTCTGAGCCTGATCAGCCGCTGCATTAGCGTCTAGTGGTTTCAGACTGCATGTTCCATGCTTTCCGCTTAAGGAAGATCATTCATTCCGCTTTGCCTTTAGGAAGATGACATACAGAGTATGTAGTATTCGTTGGAGGCCTTGCCGAGTGTACTCTTGCTGCCTATGATGTCGAGGATAGGGTGCACTTCCACAAATGCCCCGTTTAATTACATTGATCGAGCGGGTGTGGGCGGCATACCTCGCCCATAATGCCAACATCCGTGAAGAGGCGGTCCAGATAACCGATTTACTGCCCTCTACATGCTCTTACTGGGACCGAAATATAATGCAGGGGAAGAGCATTATCAGTTTTATTAAAAAGATGACATTTGTGAACCGTTTTCGAGCACCACCCACATATCACACGACTGGATGTTGCGTGAACTGAAATCAACTATGATAACAACACCAAGTCGACCAGCAACTTCCTTTTTTGACGGTCATGTCGGCGTCTGGGTCGCTCATCGTTGTTTATAAAAGCCACAGCTTGACGGTTCCGTAGGCCCGTGCCCTCAAAATCAATCGAGAAACCCTGTCACCGCGCTGGTCTATTATATTTGGTATCCTGGGGTGTTACTTCGCAATCACCGCGTCTCAATATAACCCAGTTTCTGTTGCTCATGTCATCCGGCAATATATGAGTTAAGCATGTGCCCCTGAGAGTTATATAAAGGTCCTGGAAAACAGCAGCTAGTCAGTCGAATATCAGGAGGAATTGGCAACCATTGTTGGACGCAATGTACAGCGAGACAAGAACGAAGTAGCTAGCACAATATTCCAAGCCGGGGTCATGACAATGGAAGGGCATACTTACGGCGTTGTAGCAAATGTGCGCCCTCCACCAAGGTCAATAAAGCTGGAATCCACATATGCTGTTCGAAGATAAGAACCAAACGAATGACGACCGCTGCATCACCTGCAGAGGACTCTTTTAAAAAGATCGCTGGGACTCCAAAAGTGCAAATCGAATCTGAACCCCTTAATCAATGCGGCAGCAGAAACAAGGCAAAAAGTGCTCATGGTAATTGCACACAGGCCCCCGATGGACATGGGCACAAGAAACTCACTAAAAGGCTCGTCGAAGAATGGTGGAATGAATGGGGTTTTAGCGGCAGTTGATCTGCTTAATCGACCTGAAGCAGGGCGCAGTAGTGTGACGCGGCAGCTTAAGCCGTAGGCAGGACCGGGCCGCTACAACATTCAGTCGCGGTCCGGAATAGAAAGAAGAATTTTAATGCCAACAGAGAGCACTTTATTCTGCACAGAGCGAATGGAGAATAGGTTGGAGCAAGTTGGCAGCCGGACGAGGGCACACGTCCGGCGCTGGCAGAGCAGGCGTCTGAGTGCCACCGGGCCAGGCCTCGGAGCGCCGCGGGCGAGGGCATGTCTGAGTCGTTCGTGAGGTTGATCGGCCGGCTTGGATAGCTGTGCTTGGCCAAGAGCTATACTGCCACTGGTACGCGCGAGAGGCGCACTGTTGTGGCAGGCGCCTATAGCGCAGTCACTACAAGTGAAGCACAGACTCGTTGTTCTAGAAAACAGAAAATATAATTACAGAGGTAGCCCCAAAGTTAACGGTCCTACGTCCCAGAAAAAAGTAGGAGTAGGGCACAGCACCCAGTTTTTGCCAAAGGAGAACCATCACACAATCATCTAGGAAGCCCCTGAGAGCTTTGGTTGGACGGGACCTCCGAACTTTCCATAACCTTCTCAATGACTCCCGACCGTTCGACCGTCGGTTTCAACGATGTCCACCGTGTGCTACACAGCAAGGCGCAGCGGGCACGGCGACTCGCGCAGCGCTTACCGCACTCACTTTCCCACTCCCCACCTGGACCCGGTGCCAAGACAGAGTCGAGAAGATCGGAGGCGGAGGGGAGCACAGATGGGTGGCACGATCGAACCCGCACCTTGGCGTTCCACTCCACACCCTCTGGTCCACACAGCAAATGACCAGGTTTTTGACCAACAACAGCAGCAGCAACAACACCACGATGACCAGGCAGCCGTGCCCACTACCTGTATACCCAGCGGAAGCGCAAGCGCATCTACTGTCGGGAAACTGCCAGCGCATACCACACTGCAATGGCCATGGTTTGCTGAGACTGACATAGTACACGCTTCCAGATTGTTTGACGTAGAAGGGTGACACGTGGTCCTGCACTTAGCCTTGGCCCTCACTCTTTAAGGTTAAGTAACGAGACAGTCGTCGACTCAGAGGCACTAACCATAAAGTACATACACTCCTCACATACATCAGTATCACAGATCGCTTGGGAAGGGGCCGTGATAGCCTGTCTCTTAGCCCACCAGTCCGCCACTCCACACGACGCACACAAATGGGTAGACTGCGTGAGCTGAGTTTATGCGTCAGTTGGCTGCCTTCCGAGCCACGGCGCCCGACGCACCGTCTTCATCACATGTTCCGATTACACATGCAGCCAGAGAGCCGCATAGTGAAGGCGCCGAGACGCTCACTTCCCACTTGCGCGGTAGGTGGCAGTTGGGTGTTTGCGGTGGGTGATGTTGATGTGCGGTGAGATGCTGATGTGGTAGGATGCGATGGTGTGGTGCAGCCGGCGGTTGTCTACCGCATGTGGCGTTATATACCCATGCAGTCAATAAATGTGCGAGTGCAGTGTTGACAGTGGGGTCGAATGCGGCGAGTGTAGGTTGGTGCTCTAGGCACTGGTTCGCCAGTGTCTGTGTGATGGATTCGCAAGTTACCGACCAGGCCGATGCGTGAAGTGAATGTACGGGGACAGTGTGGACATGAGAAGTCGGCGGTGTCAGCATCAGGTACGGTGATGGTGATGGCGGAGCTGGTAGTAGTGGCCGCGCTGGGCGACGAGGTGTGGGCAGGTCTAGGGATGGTGGGTGTGCGAGGTGTGTCAGGGCTGCGGTCAATTCCGCTTTAATGTGTACGCATTTGGTCGAATAGACCCATGTGATGTATGAATGTGCGTGGGCAGTGGGGGCGGATGCGGTGGGTGTAGGTTGGTGTCCCAGGACTGGTTCGCCAGTCGCTGTGCGATCTATTCGCACGTGACCGACCAGGCCGATGCATGTGGTGAAGGTGCGATCACAGTGTGACACCCAGAAGGTCGATGACGTGCAGTTCAGTTAAGTTTTGTTAAGGGAAGTATAGGCGAGCGCCTTTGACCTCTCTATTGGTTACAAATCGTTTGCGAAAAGCACTGATAAGTGGAAAGTTGAAAAGGAGATTTTGTACATTATTGCATGTACATATGCAGCTCGCTAGAAGTGCAACAGGCCAGACGCAGACAACTGTTTCACAGTTGTTACCGATAATCGGTACGTTATGGGCCATATGAAGTGAGGCATATAAACATGTCGAGTAAGCGTTTGACCCTCACTGTCGTGCTTAGGATCTCACTTGATCCCATTCTGTCCGCCCACCAGCCTGCTACTGACGACAGACGGCTGCCAACTATTCGAATGAGGGTAATCATCAACGGTTACTCAATGTAAGTAGTAACCCTGACCTTGGACCTTCTTTTCAGAAGAAGGTTTATCCGAAATTCACCTCCTCATGTTGGGTCATTTCAGAGAGGCGGGTCTCGCTGGGAGCCGCCATGTCCACTATGTGGCGGCTCAGTTCGCGGGCGACCAGAACCGACCTTATTTCCGGAGAGTTTGCCTCCGGATGGTCTAGAAGCCAACGGCCATTGCAGGCTGCCATAATGAGTAGTGTCAACATGGCAGTCTGTAGAGTGAGATTGAGGGAATGGGTACGGGGTAGTTGTCTGTTGAGGCTTTCAACGCCATTTTCGTCCGGAAGTCACGGTAAGCTTGTTCAGTTCAGCTTTATTAAGGGAAATATAGGCAAGTGCCTTTGAACTCCCTATTGGTTACAAGTCGTTGGAAAGAAAAACACTGATAAGTAGAAAGTTGGAAAAGAGATTTTGTACATCGTTGCAGACAGCTGCAAGCTGGCATATCAGGAGTAATCATTGACGGTTACTCACTAATTGCAAGTAGCATAAACGTATAATTTTGTGCCGGGCTATGTGAGTGGAGGTGAGGCTGGCAGTTGGGAAGCTTGATACGCGTCGAGTCTACACTTAAAGGAATTCGCTCAGGAGGAGCTACAACATCGATAGGCAGGGTATTCCACGCTGCAACCATTCTGTTACTGAAAAAGAAGTTTCGTCCATTGATCCTCGCTTTACCTGCGCGTAGTTCTAGAGGATGACCGCCCAGACTGGGCGCATTATCTCAAGTAAATTAATCACTGGGATCTAAGCAACAGTCTTGGTTGTTTATGATGCGGAATGTTAGTATAAGGCCACCGTGTAGTTGACCGTAGGAAAGGGGAAACAAGTTGAGAGTTGACAGTCTGGTTTCATAGGACAGTGCTCGCAGACCTTGTGTGATTTTGGTCTCTGGATCTTCTGCAAGACGGTATAGTCCTTAGCAGTCCAAGGTCTCCATGCCTGTATGGCATATTCTAGATAAGGCCGCACGAAGGTGCCAGATATTTTGGAAGGACAGTCAGTGTCAAATCCCATAAAAGCTGTCCTAATGAGCTGCAATGTAGGCATGGCCGACTTAGCCGTCTTCGCGCAGTTTAGTGTTGGTTTGATTGAAGATGTAATTCACACACCCAAGTCCTTCTGACTGTCAAATTGTTGCAGTGGTGTGCCGTGAAGAAAGTAGGTTCTGGTGCTGGAGGCTCTGCAGCGCCGAGTTTTTCACAGTTGGGTCAACAGGAATTCCACAATTTTATATTGTCAGCAAACGGGATGGCATCACAGCTTGGGCCCTTGACGCAGTCATTTAGGAAAACGAGAAATAATGTGGGGCCTACGATTGAACCCTGTGGGCCGCCGCTCTGAGGACTGCTGGCGTCCGACCTGCACTTTTAGGGACCCTTCAGTCAAAAAGCTCTGGATCCGTACAAGAAGGCGTCCACGAATTCCAGCGTTGCGCAGTTTGTGCAAGAGACGTTGGTGAGGAGCGCTACCGAAGGCCTTTTTGAAGTCAATGTAGATGGCGTGCACCACATTGCCTTCGTCGCGTGCTTTGGTCCAGCGTTCGAGTGAAAAGAGCACATTCGTGAGACAGGACGTACCACTTCGAAAGCCCTGTTGGCCATTGGGGAGGAGGCGATGCTGCTTGAGGAATTGCATCAACGCCTTCTTGATGATTTTCTCCATGATTTTGCAACAGTGGAGGTAAGACTCACTGGCCTGTAGTTATTCGCAGACGCACGACTTCCATCCTTAAAAAGCGGAGTGGTGGTAGCGGACTCCCAGTCGGAGGGTAGGCACCTAGTAACAGATGACGTTTGAAATATCAAGGCTAACGATTTGGACATTTCGGGGGCTAGCTCCTTCAGCAGATTGGCCGGGATTGCATTAGGGCCTGGAGAGGTCGATTCCTTCAGGTTTGATTGCTCTCTCCTTGACCGATTACTTCGGTGAAGAAGACTGTGTCAACAGTAGGCGTTTCTTCGTCTTCACAAGTGGATGGGAAAAACTCGGGTTCAGTTGTCACGACGGACTTGAAGAACTGAGAGAGATGCTCGACCTTATTCTTGTCACCTGAGATTTTCGTTCCCCCAGCCGTTCGCAGCAGTGCCTTATGTAACTGTAAAGGACTTCGGGATTAAATGTGGCACGGTCCAAAAAGATCCTTTTCGAAGGATTTCCGATCTCTGGCGATGAGAATTTTGACCCGGTTTCTCTGTAACTTATAACTGCTTAAGGATTCTGGCGTCCGGTCAATGCGGGATCTCCATAGCTTCCTCTTCCTGTTAACTTCCTTCTTTAAGGACGGAGTCAACCAGTGGGGTCTATTTGTTAGTCTTTTGTGCATGATTTGGCAGTGGTTGGAGATGAGGCTGTGGACTATCACTTTGAACTGACACCAAACCTCGATATCGCCGGAGAGAGTGGACGTCCAGTCGATAGGACGAAGATCATTTTTCATCTGTTCGAAATCGCCGCGCCAAATATTGGGTCGGGAATGGAGCGGATGTGCAGGCAGGGAAAATAAGATGTATTCCCACATGAGAACTACATGGTCACTCTGACCCAATTAGGGAGAGGCAATTCACAACGTCGATGTTATCAGATGACTTCGTGAACACAAGATCGAGGCAGTTCACTTGTTGGCCCTCACAAACTCTCATCGGAAACAGGTGTTGGGTGAGAAGCAGATTGCCGGTGGTACGCAGTAGCCGCTGGTCGAATGCTGTTTCAGAGCAGTCGGCGGAGGTCGAGCTCCAGTCGATGTGAGGTGCATTAAAGTCCTAAACGATGAGAGCACTCGGCCGCGTAGAAAATAATCTGAGCTCATCCAACAGTTGGGCATCGAGTCTTTGAGAGCCCCGTGCCCTTATGGTCAACCATAATGCTTCCGTACAACAAGTCAATTTGGCAGTCTTTCTGAAACGTACAAGCCATTCTTGACAGATGTTGCCATGTCACCAGCTGTTCTTTTTTCTCTGTCTCTGTGGAACAGTTGAAATCCAGGAAGCACAAACTCCCTATCATCAACCTGTGCGAACAGCCATATTTCTTTTATTGAGATAACGTCTGGGCGGAGATCGCAGATATGGATTCAGAGTTCACTCAAGTCCGACAAGTCCGCTTGAGGTCATTAAACATAGATGACATGGGGTTTTCTACCGTGGCCATTGAATGTCGCCCTGAGAACTAAACAGAAAACCAATTTATTTCTGTTTCCCAAGTCCGTAATACGGAAAACCGTCCTGAACCGGTTTTTTTTCCAGCCGGATTACTCTTCTGTGAACCGGACGAACAGGAGACCTATATGTAAGTAGAACTGAGGAAACGACAGAGTCAGACAGATATCTGAATATAATGAACAGTCAAATTATGGGAAAGGAGAGTCCATTTATGTGGAATCATCCGGTGAAAATTACGGCAAACACACTGACATCATGTCTGCTTAACTGGCTGTGGACTCGAAATCGGACAGCAAGCTGCATGTTGCCCGAAAAATATGTAGAAATGCATGTGAGGCCGTGAAAACAAAACAATGTTCACAATTGTACACGGTCTGTTTAACAGATTACACGAAACCAAACTGTCCGCAGTCCGTTTCAAACCCGACTTCGTATCTTCAGCTACAACGTGGTTAAATGAGAAGGTTGAAAAGTCGAATATGTGCTGACCAGCCTTCATCTTATTTGGATAGACCGAAACCGGCGAAGGAGAATCGCAGTACTAGTACGTGATGATATCACCAGCATTAGGAGTGAATTTTGGTTGTGAGATTCTCAGCTGATACTCGTGAGTATCACACCAACCAGATCTCCATATTTGTCGAGTACTCAGCTCTCGGAAATCTGAAGGCTGCATACGATACATTCATCTCCAAAATAAATTAAGTGTCGTTCCAAGCACATATTGCTTGGGAATTCGATGTGCCAGACACAGAGTAGTACTTAATGCTCCGCGCGCAATCCGAAAGCTGCCACCTTGCGAATAAGCTGACCGGCTGGATTCGTTGGAGGTTCCAGTGATAAATCCACGGACTTAACTGCTTGTCCTACCTCAGAAATTCAGGGGCACGTATGAGCGCAGGTACATGAGCATAGTTTTTCGTTAGTCATAGCAGTCAAGGATTGGTGGTTGTGAAGTTAAAATTCATTGTTCGCAAAGTGCGGACGATGTCTCCTTGTCGTGAACGTCCCAAAGACACTAGGAGGTGTAGAAGACTTACAACTGTTATGGTGTCTTCCGTTCCTGCCGGGAATTTTCGCCGGCCGGCAATGTGTTCTTGGAATCCATGTTTTCCATGTCCATTCCGCCAGAATCATTGATAACAGGAAATAGGACGTGTGGCAAGCCCGCGAACGGCGACGGCGCCATGTTGCCTAGACCCCAGAGGTAGTGGTCAAACGTATTTGGCTGCTCCTAATGATGTCTACAGATATCAGCCCTACTACAACCATTTCGTCCCGGCAGCGCTCGTAAGTCTCTTGCTTTGGGCGCTGGGCAGTCGCAGAGTCACGAATACACGCGTATGAGTGTAGGAAATGTATGTAAAGAATCCCTCCCCCCTACAATACATGTACATCGTAAAAAGGCGTTATAGGTTGCTAGTAGCCCAATGGGAAGCATAAGTACTTAGTAAGGGACGATGCCCAAGGTACACAGCTGATTCCATTAGTAGCCGGTCGTGTACACCTTTAAGATGAAAGGATCTGCGTGGGGGGGGGGGGTAGTGGCAGTAGTCTGACGAGTTTATTACATCGACATATGTGATGCGGTCACATCCGCCATGATCGGAAAGTATGTGCTTAACGCACAGAGTATCTTGTCATTGTTAATTAACACCACAGTAACTTACCTATTTGCCAAGAAGTCTACGCGAAAGTGTGAACTGATTACACCCTTAAACTGTTCATCGGCGTCATAATCTGTAGGAATAGGCCTTGACTATGCCTCTGAAGGTGCCCAAGTCGGTGAAGCTCATTTTTTACGTTTGCTTGTATGTATACCTGACCAAAGCGCTTCGCTAACTGCTGAAGACGTCCGGATGGGTTTCCCGGTACTTCCTCCAGACCTCCCCGATAACTTTAAAGGTGAACGAAGAAAACTGGCCTAGGGCCATGACACTGTACGCCATCGGTAATGTGTATAATGCTATGCTAATGGCACACAATAGTTCCTTCTCCGTATAAAACTAAACATTCACCTACAAACAGTTTCATCAGAACACTCTTCTTTCACACAAAAGGCGGTGTAAGTGTGTAGTTCTAATATTTGTTAGAGGCGAAAACAGCATTCTCCTTATGTGTTCTCATATGCCTCCTGGCTGTATGAATCAGCACCTTCTTGTTTGATTGTATGGCTATTCTTCTCTACTGATGATTGAGGCAGTCGGAGAAAGAGATGTGCGGAGCGTGGGCTAGTGGCAAATAAAAATAAATTAAAAAAGATGGACTGGGTCATTCCACCCGGCCGTTTTTCGGAAATTCAGTCGATTATCTGCTAGAACATTTGTTTTTGCAGCGCGCGTCCGCGATCATAATGGGCAATACTAAATTTAACAATACCGTCGATATCAGAATACCGATACTGGAACGGCGAAACCAGCGTCCAGACACGTATGTTAAAATCTTTGATTAAATGTAGGGCTCGTCGACTGCAGTATGTCTTGCAGACCTAATGCATATAACCTCTTCCGCCCACTTTGTGGCCTTTCCGGATTATGATTAATAATGACCTCCCAAAATTGTATTATGGAAAAAAGGGAAAAGTATGTGCAGTGTGTTATCAGTATTACACTGAACCCTTTCGTCTTCGGTCCCCCCGCTGTTTCTCAAACGCAGTGGAGTCCGAGACCGTTCCGAATGCCCCACTCGTTGTTCTATAAGTCAGGAGTAAATAGAGTGAAAGGGAAAACGAATTCACTACCCAAGGCACGAGTTCTAGACAGTTCATGCACACATTTTACACAAGTGTACAGGGACCTCTTCGAAAGCGTTGAGATCAATCGACAGTGGGCTACCCTACTACGTCGATGCATCAGTAATTCCGGTTCGCAATTAACAACCAACCTTTTACAGTCTTGTAACCGGAGAGCCATTAGGCCTTCCCTCATGTTGTGGTCACTGAAATTAATGTGGTCTGTTATGTTGTCGGACACTGTCTATAGTATAGCAGCCTACCAACTGTTTCCGAAACTCTATGCCACTAACTTGTGCTTTCAGGTGTTGGACGTCGACTCTAATGCTCACAGACGGAATTTCGAGGCAGATTTTTATTAGGCTGTGAAATAACGGGCGATATGCGTCCCGCGGCAATCTTCGGTGTGCGTGTGCTCTGGCCTCGTACAATCCACCGTTGCTTCCGTGTGATGTCTTCCAGTTGGCCCAACTTTCAGCTGAGGGTATATTCGTCTGTCACTGGCGCGTGCATCACAAATTTCGAACTCAATACAGTCGTTTGTATGTGAAGGTCGCGATGTTCGTCGACTTCCTCAGACGACATACTGACACATGATGACTCAGAATACATTTCGGTAGGACATAGAATAATCGGTAACGAGCAATATCCTTATATAGTGCCTACTTGCTTGATTTAGGTAGCTTGGCATATGCTATTCACAACATCTGAGGCGCATTGTTGTTAACACCTTCCTTCCCTGTCTGATTGGCGTCTAGTCAACCGTATTGATC